ACACATGGAATGAGTCACAACTCACTGCTAGAGGAATTAATTAAGTGCCTCGCATGGGACTGCACCTGGACAGAACTCTTGGAAGCTTGAACCTCGTTTTCTCCAGATTTCGCTTTGCATCCTTTTGCTGTAATAAATCACAATCACCTCTACAACTATATGCTGAGTCCTGTGAGTCCTCTCAGCAAACCATTGAATCTAGGGGTGATCATGGGAACCTCAAATAAAGGGAATAATCTCTGCATCTTTATTTGTTTTAAGTTATTACACCATTTTGTCTGACAAAAGTTATGCTCTCGTAGCAGAAAACTTGCAGAGTAAAGGAAATTGTAGCAAAGGAAGATAGCAATAATTCTCTAAGCGAGTTTTTTCCCTACATTTTATATTATATAGTTGAAGTCTTAATGAAAAGGTAATTTGTGTACTGCTTTTGTTGTTTGCTGCTGTCATTGCATATTTGTCTTGATTCTTTGGTTGTTGTTGCTAACATAACAAAAGCCATTCCCCAATGTGTTTGAAATTCCTTGCAAAGATTATTTTAATGGTTGCATAATGTTCATAACTGGCTTGCCCGTTTTCTTAAATCCTCTAGTGTTTTCAGCTTTCACGGTTGTAAATAATGCTGCAATGGGTATCTCTGAGCTCTGCACCCAAGACATACATTTCCAAAGTCGGCATCATTGCCTTGGGAAAAAAAAAGGGATGCTAGAGGGTGAATATGGGATTCACATAACTGCTGAACTCAAGTGCCCTGAGAAGAGGTGCCAAGATCAAAAAGAGGGTTTCCAATAATAGTTCTAATGACAGATACTTAACTTGTATCACCAAATAATGAATCTGTCCTAAGATCTGGCTAAATAATTGTGTTTGTTAAAATAACAACAACAATGGGTTTACCTAGTCAGCAGAGGTTTTATGTCACTAATGAGGCTTCGTCTGGGCAGCCCTCTCCATGTAGAAGATGTGTTTAAAAAAAAAAGAGCTTAAAGCATGCAAAGTACATTGCAGGTACACAAAATCAGCTCTTTGGCTGGAATGTAAGAAATGAGGTTGCAGAGGGAGGCCTTAAATGTCAGATGTCTGCAAGAAGTAATGGAGGTCGTGAAATGTCCCCCAGGAAGAAGGCGGAGGTTAATCTAATGGTGATGAGTGGGATGAAACGGAACAGGAGAGGCTGGAGTCAGGGAGACCAGTAGGCACAAGATTGGGAGAGACAGATTTTGATGGACAGCAGTGAGAAGTGCAAGGAAGGAAGAAAAAGACGAAGGGAGATAGAAAGGGAGGGATGGAGAGACGGAGGGAGGGAAGAGAAAGCCCAGGACGGTGGAAACAAAGCTGGCTTTAAAGGTAGCAAGACTTAGTGTGAATCCCAGCTCAGGTATTTATTAGCCATGGGACCTAAGCAAGTCACTTAAGCCCCTGAAGCTGTTTCCTCAACAGAAATATCAATGCCTATGTTGTAGCTGATGGTAATGATGAAAACCAATATGTACAAAGCCTCCAGCACAGTGCCTTGCAGTAATTGGATAGTCAACGACAGAAGTGGCTATCAAGACACTACCAAGAAATGACTGACAAAACCTGGTTATTACCTAGATATGGGAGAGAAGAAGAAATCAAAAATGTTCCAAAATATTAAGTCTGGATAACAGGAAGAATACTAGCAGTTATATGAGCATCACGTACAAATACTCAACTATGCATTAGTACATCTCTCCTCATGTAATCCTCAAATCAACCCTATGAGTTATATATTAATGTTTTCATTTTAAAATAAAATAAAATGAGGCTTAGAGAAAAGACATAATTTGTTAAGGCCAATTGAGCTACTAAGTAGTAAGCTCAGGGTACATTTATAGACTCAGATTCAGAGATCATTTATATTTTACCAGTGTGGAAACTGAGGACAAGTTGAGTTGAAGAATTTGCCTAACATTACACAACTGGGTGGTAGCAGAGCTGGAATAATCCTGGTCTCATGATTCACCATGAAACTATAAAGAATGAGCTAACTGGGGAGGGGGATATACATGAATAGGAGTTTCACATGGGTAACGCTTGCGGCGATGACAGGTATTTCCAGGTAGAGATCTCTAGCAAAAAGCATGACTAAAACTCAGGAATAGTATGTGGATGTAGACCTGAGAGTCACCTCCTAGAGAGGATGGCTGCTGACTGAGGAGTAAATGAGCTCCTCAAGGTAAAGAGTGAAAAATGTGAAATGTAAGAAAGCTAAAGATGAGCCTCATGTATCACAATATGGAGACTGAAGGCAGAGATTACAGGAGACCTATATTCCGGGAGTTCTGTAGACCCTGAAGGCTACAAACAGGACAGGGGACGGGAGAAAGGCTAATAAGGCTATTATTCATTGGGTATCATGATCAACTGCTGATGACTTTGGGAATAATAATTTGGGATCAATGATACAAGTGGTTTAGAAGTGAGCAGGAGGCAAGACCCAAATGCAGACCTCTCTTTCTAGATGTGTGCTAGTGAAAGAAGAGAAAGTGAAAAAAACCTAAATGAAGTAGCAAGATTCTAATGGAAGACAGCTTTGAAGGAGAGATGACACTAGCACATTTGAAGTTGAGAAGTCCAAGTTGAGAAGAGTCTGTGAATGCTTAGAGAGAGATGGAGCTTTCTGAAGGCCCACATGTCAGAAGAAGCTGGTGAGGGTTCTATGGAGAACACAGGTGAAGGGGTCAGTCTTGGGAAGGTAGAGAAACATATGAGTCTTGAGGAAAAACAGGTGAAAATGCAAAGAAATTTCAAGGTACTGGGCTTACAGAGTTATTATTATGTTCCCACGCCCAAGGACCTTGAAAGCTTATAGCTTGCTGATGAAGTCTGCCTAGGATTTTCCCATGAGTCACCTGATAGCAGAGGGAGCGTTACCTTGTGCAACCTGTCTGTCTGCCAAGACCATGTGATATCATAAAGTGT